ACAGTGGTATAGAAATAAAAGAAGGGATGGAAATAATTCTCTAGTTTCTAAACGGTTTGTCCGATTCTAATAAATTTCTTATTTGATTAAAAATTTATAAATTTCTGAAAAGTAAACTTCATTTTCAATCCATTGAAAATTAATTATACACCCGGTTTAAAATTAATATTTTTAAGATTTTTTCAGCAAACATTAAATTTGATATTGTATGTTTTCTAAAATATTCAATCGTTTTAGTCGCCAATTGTTGGACAATATTTTATTTAAAATAATATAAGTTTAATTGTATTGAAAAACGTCGTTTAGTCAAAGATATCTAAAGAATAATATCTGTAAAGAAAGTTTGTATCGAATTTCGTCGAAGTTCACTCAAAATACCACTTCTTTTGAGGCGGTCCACATTTTTCCCCAGCCCCAATATAAAGGCTCTTTCATAAAATTTGTTTTTCATCAAAGCTTAAATATATCGGAGACAAGGTAGCATTTAATTTAAATAATTTATCATGAAAAACAAGTCACATTTCATTCTCTTAACTGGTGTAGGGTATTATATGGTCGGCCACGTTCGACTATAATTTCTTACTTGTTTTTATATATGTATATATAAGTTCACTTTTGTCACATCACGTCCTAAATTCTTGGACGTAGTTGCTCAGAATTTTGGAATAACATCGGATATAATTTCGACGAAAGCCTGGCAATGACAGATAAAGTATTCCAGCATTTTACTATTCTCCCTTCATGCCACACATATGTATGTACATATGTATGTATGGCTGAATCCATTCGTCCAATCCATTTGTCCACTAAGAATACACGTTATCATACTAAAATCGAGATTATTTATTCTAAGAAGGATTTTCGTCCACCTCACGTTAATGACACCTAATATGATTTTAGTGGTTCTATGTAATGTTATATAGTAACGATTTTTACTAAAGCGATCAACAAATAAAGTGATAGGAAAACTTGGCGATTATTTTTTATGTTAATATAATACTATTTTAGTAATTCAAGCTCTCATTCGTATTCAACCCCTAACTAAGAACAGATTGATTCACCATTAAAAATTTCAAGTATGATGTATTTCATTTAAACGTGATTTGATTCCATTTCAATTTTTAATCACCTCACGAGTTATAAACTAATTAGCGTCATCTCTTTTTTATCATAATCAGCTATTTGATTACTGTTAGAATCAAATAAAAATGTGTCAAATGTAGGGAAATTTAGATATTGGTATATGCACTTTTTCATTGGCCCCCAAAGATTGTGGGCCTCGATGTAATTTTTGGAAAAAATTATAGTTTTCTCAGATTTATATCTTACAAACCGTTCGTAATTTTACTCTCAAAGTTGTAGCTCTTGTTATAACAAACGTTGACACAATATAAAATTAAAGAAAACTTCATCATCTAGATCAATATCGCAAAAAACTTTAAAAAATTCGATATTTTACGTGTTAAAAAAATATATGTATCAAGTGCTTCTCTTAATTGTGCGTATACTTAATATTTGTAATATCAATAAATCATTAACACGTATACGTACCGTACCGCAATTCAGTAACTTTTTAACTACAAATATTTGTCGTTAAATAGTAAAAATTCGTAAGTTAACAATAATTGTCGTTATGTGGTATTCTAAATTTTATTTCACAGTTTTTTTTTCGTTAAACGAAATTATTAGTTAAGGAAAAGTAACGGCAATGTAACGACAAATAAAAAGGTCACGTTAAAAATCTCATATTTTTCCGATCTTTGTCGTTAAAATATTCGAAGGTAGTTAAAAAGTTAGAGAATTGAAAATTCGTTAATGCAACCGATATTTGTCGTTACTTTACGATATCGGTAGTTAAAATTAAAAAATTACAGAATTGCGGTACAGGTGTCTTTAATAAAAAACCAATTTCACAATGTAAAATTGATCCAAAGCAATTGACCCAAAAGTACCTGTCCCATGATATGTGAAAATAATATTATTACAAAAAGTACAGAAGTGTGTTAGGTGAAAACTAGACTTATCTCCTGATTGGTTTAAAGGAACTGACACAAAACTATTCCATGGTGATTTTTTTATAATTATAACACCTCATTAATATGGCATTAGCCTAGGAAGTGACAAATATTGAATAAATGTTGTTTTAGCAAATTGATTTAAATCTATTGATAAATACTCGAGAATTTTGGACATGTTAAGTGACATGTTCGCTTTTTACGGAGTACGGAGATCATTGATTTGATTCCCACTACACACTCTGGAAAAGGATTGCAAAACAGGTCTAATAGTGTGCTATGTGTATTTCTTCGGATCTGATGTAACATATATACATCCTTCTTTAAACTAACTTCTTCTTGTAAATACCTAAATCGAACTGCAAACATTTATAGAAAACATTATTTAAACAAACATATGTATGTATATGTATAAAACAAGTATTATTATACATAAGACCAACAACGATTTTGTCATTAGTTTTCTTAATTTTTTTTTATTATTTTGTTGCAATTCTACATGTTTTATATACATACATACATATATATATTTATTCCTGTTATTTATGTATATGTTGGAAAATTTATCAGACTTAATGTTGTAGTTTTAGTTTTATTTTTGGCAGTATTTCAAAATGGGTGTCAACAAAGAATAATAGAGCGGATACAGATAATATGTATGTATGTATGTACACTTGCTACATAAAGTTTTTTTTGGCAGGAATTGCAATGAAGAAAATTAAATATGTACCAAAACAGAAATTATTAAAACTTAAAAATTTATTGTACTGATTTTAAAATTAAATAAAATCATTTAAATTAATTAATGCTACCAAAAAAATTATCAAATACTCTCGAACTGATCAAAACTATGTTTGCTCTTTCTTGTTTCTTGCTGCAACATCCGATAATATGAGTGTCGGTGGATTTTGTATGAAATTATAATTCGTCACTCGCTATATAAAACATTGAAAAAATCAGCAGTATCTAATTAAAAGTTTGTGTTAAAATACGTTGTATTTATTGAAAAATTTAAAATAGTGTAAAAAAAAATGTTCTAAAGTGATAACTTCAAAAATAAATACATATATTTGATTTGTTGGTGGTCACGCTAATTTCATCAAATAATTGATAGATTTAAAAGTAACTTTAGTTCAAAAAGTACATAACTCAAAATATGTGTTAGTAACAATATGCAATTAATGTTTTTTTCAATAGTATTCAAAGAGTTTGAACATGAAAGTATCATTGTAGAACAACCAAAAACGAATGGACTACTTGTATTATTATAACAATTCTTAATATGTATTTTATTGTCTTTTGCAACTAAGAATTCTATACGACTAATTATCATTTTCTCAATGTCTGGTTATTTTTAATTGTAACAGTTGACAGTTTTCATACAAAAATGATTTTAACCATCAGAGTATCTACCGGTTAAATGATAATCGGATGTTGATATAATGGGCATAAGTATTTCATTAAAACCATACATACATATATTTGTATATTTTTGAAATAAACTTTCAATAATTTTAATTTATCTGTTTTTTTTTCCTTTACAGCCGGTATCATTGTGTGTCAGTATTTCACTGTTCTATACTTTGCTGTGCTGTACCACATCGTAACGTAACGTGAATTCGTCTATTTGTTTTTAATAAAGAATATGGAAATAGAGATGTGAAACGAGTTTACATTTTTTATAGTTCTTTGAAATTACGGGCGAATGATACAGTTTCTGTTTTCCTCATTCATCTTATTCTGTGTGTATGTGCGAAAGTAGGCGAACAGCACTACAAATACATTTTGTGCTCAATTTTACGAAAAGACTGCATTTAAATCAACATTGCGGCATTAATAATGGCACGTTGTGCAGCAGAGTTAACGGATTTGTATAAAGGAGCGTTTATGATGAAAGAATAAAAAAGTGTTATTTTTTTAAGTGCAACATTTTACAAACCTTTATCCAAAAGCAGTAACAAAACTAAAACTACAACTATACTTAAACCAAAAGATTTTAAACTTCTGTACTGCTGTTTTCCCATCAGAAATACCAGAACAAATTCGACATTTTTTTCTTACCGCCACAAAGAAAGAAAACAAAGTACAATCGCAGCCACACATACTAACATATTCAACAATAGACAGACAGACTGACAGTTAGTTGGGCAGACATGAAACTCTCACTACACTACTGCCAATAAAATAAAAATGACATTCATGCCATTGCGAAAAATACACCATTCGGTCTCTGTTTTGTATGTAGTTGCAGCTTCGACTACAATTTGATTCAGTGAAAAGTTTTTGTATGTTGCATTTATAATGCTGGTTTATCTGCGAAGAGCAGCATTGAAATTTTCCGCAGGGAACACTGTTATGCATACAGCATAAAAAATACAAAACACAGCGTACAAGTAAGTTGCAAAGGCGGGGCTAGACCATTGTTTAGATGCCATTTAAAGCCATCTAATACTAAACGCAAAAAAAAATAATAAACAACAATACAAAAAAAAAAAATAACTATAAAAACTTGATAAAAAAAATTAAATAAGAACAAAAATAAAAGCAAACAATACAAATATAACCACCACGAGCACTAGCAAGCACCACAACTAACCACCACCACTACTACTACTTACTACTATTACAACAATAGTAACTTTAAGCATCATTATTACCACAGTACTGTCATTTTAGTCAACTGTCACAGAGCATTGAAAATCTCATCTGTCAGTTGAGTGACATAAAAAGGAATTTTAAAATGATGGAATTGCACTATTTTTAAATTGTAAATTGTACAACTACCAATAACATCAACACTATATACTATTAGCCAAAAAAAATAATAATAACAAAATTATATAAGATACAAACATTATCTGCAGCAACAGCAACAACAATCTGTTCGTACAATAAATTCGACTTAATGCAATCTTTATAATAAACACTGCGACAACATAAAACGAGAAGTGGTAAACACATCTGGACTTTGAAGGTCCAAATAACTAAAAGATAAAATAGAAATAACGCGTTTCGCAGTTCGTTGTAAACGAGTCAAAAATCTTTGTGTCGTGCTTTATTTTCGTTTAATATCGGAATTTATTCAACACCAGGATTGTGCAGAATTTTATACGATACCGCTTAACAGTAAACGCTTACCTACTTCATGTGGCAGAGGTAGGCGGCGTTGGAGGCGGGTTGGCGACTTACACGGTCGTTTGGTTGGCAAACAGGGGAGCAGAAGTCATATTGGCGCAAGGCTGCCATTTGTAGGCAATGCACCGTCTTGCGGAAAGATTGTAAGTACAGTTTCTTCATTTTACATTAGATAAATATTAAATATTATTACAATACAAACACATGCATACAACAAGTCTCAATTAGAACTTATTGCTTTTAAAATAACAATAGCACTTATATTTTTACTATAATTAACCAATTTCAGCAGCTCAAAACCTAATTCCTGATTTCGTTAAAGTTAAAATATTAAAACTGGTTTAGGCTAATTGGTAAATATGAAAAAACTTCCGCAGTCTGAATATTTTTTAACAGCATTCAGTCCCATACCTGATAAATTTGTTTGTATATTTGTGCAAATTCATAATGGAAAACCAGATCTCTTTATAATATTCCATAATTGTCATTGTGTTTGTGCAGGTGAGTGAAAAAGTATTTACCTCTGAGTCAGTAATTCCGTATTGTTTTCTTCATTGTCTATCCATCTAACTGTCTGTCGTCTGTCAGTCAGTCTGGCTTCGTTTAAAAATGGCTACATAAAAAAACATTTGTGTAAATGTAAAAATATAGAAATGTGTGACTATACATAGATCCATACGTATGTATGTATGAATATTATTATGTACGTCTGTGTTTTTATGAATAAAATGATAAAGACAATAAACATTTACGGGTTTTTAAATGTTTGAATCGAGTAACAACCCCAATATAAAAATCTGTTTGTATTTGTTACACAAAATGCATTAAATATTTATTAGCGACATAAGAGAGGGTTTTCTTGCTATACATAGTTACATATTTAAAGTTTTGCTAACTAATTAAACAAGACAAATCAGAGAGTACACCGACATTATCATCATTGTTTAAAACAGCTTGAAGCTGGTAAACAGAAACTGTACGAGACTATGTCCGTCCATAGTGTTTAACATGGGGTTTATATTGAGGTTTAAATTACAGTCTGACTGGGATCATGGATTTATATTCATGTTATATTCAAAGCACAGTAAAACACAATATTTGCTAAATTTAACAATAAAATTTTTCGAAAGACAAATTTATACACTTTTACAAATAAAATAATTTGTTGTAATGCTTAGAGTTCTTATGACTTTTCATATTTCTTGGAATTTTTAAATTTGTCAAATTTTTCAGAATCAGATTTTTGAAATTTTTACCCTGTATGACCGAAATGTCCAACTTTTACCCCCTCGAACATCGGCAGTTCTTGACCGATAGAGCTGAAAATATGTGTCTGGCCTACTATCCAATGGTACTAACCATGGAGCAAATTTCATCCAAATCGATTTTTTGAGTTGAGTTGACCCTTTTCTATGAAACATTAAAATGCTCTATAAAAATATACATTACGTATGTATGTATAAAAAATAAATTCCGAAACTTTTATTATAAATAAACACATTTAAATTTTAAATAAAAATTTTCTTGAATATTGATTATTATAAAAATGCTTATTATACATACAACTTACGCATTACTAAATAATTTAAATTCGGTAGAAAATTATTTGTTTGTAAATATGTATACATATGTATGTATATACAAATACATATGTATATATTAGACCGACTCTCTGTGTATGAAAAGCAAATTCGTGATTTTATTACATCTCTCAAAATTTACCTTCGATTGTTTTATAATGATTCCCAAAATATGTATGTATTTTTTCTAGGAATGTGCCATGAGCCGAACCGAATTCAAATATAGTAAAATTTCTGTATTGTTTTAACAATATCGTTTGATAAAATAAAATATAGGGAATCATTTAAAAATGTAAAGTCGTGTCTCCTTTGGAATATATATGTATATATATTTTTTAAACAATCTTATGACATAACAACCTATACATTTGTATATTGAGAAGGCTAAATCAAGCATCGTTTCTTGTGATTCGGTCTAATATATACATACATATATTTATACCCATTCGCTATCGTACATAAATATTAAATTTAAATTGTTAACATTTCCTTTACATTGATATTTATGATGATTTGCAGATAATGTTTTGGCTACTAACAACAACGACAGTCTGAAGAAAGTATAATACAAAAAACAAAATTAAAAACTGGAAAACTTTACCCGCATCTAAACAGAAATTACGCAAATTTTCTTTTATCAACAATTTTTTCTCTTTTTACATGTTTGTAACCTTTGAACTTTCTGTATCAAGAATGCCAAAATATTAAAAGAATGCTCCGACTTAAAGCAGCACTAAATATGTATGTGAATATATATGTATAAAGGGTGATTACCAGTCTGTTTTATGTAGGGTACAAAATATATTTGTTTTACAAAACAGAAGCCATCAATGTTGTATTAAAGAAAATAATATTTGTTTGATAAAGATAGATTCATATTTTTATTTTTTTTTCTAAAGTCATTTAAAGTTATTTGCCAGCAAAAAAAAGGAACTTATTTCTAACTTTCTTGTGAGTTAGTGTACATACATTTACACATTTCCTTTCATTTGGTTCCATTGCTAAAAAAAACTTTTCACATCTTTTTGTAATACTTTTGAACATGATTCAACATTGTAAAAAATTTAAATGAAGTTGGAATTTCATTTGTAGATGTGAGTAAACGTATGACAGCAGTTTTACAAGAAGTCAATGTATTCCTTTTTTGATAGTATATTCTCACACAATTGATTTAACTTTTTTATGATTTCGTGCAAATCGAAACACATGAACTGTTTATTTAAAAAAGTAAAATATTGCAGATACATAGTTGTAATGTGCAGTGTAATAATTATCACAGAATTAATTCTTTAACTTTAACCCTAAATAATAGATGAAATCAGTAGTTCGAGACAGTCATCACGAACTGCAGGAATGTCTATGTGAGCAAGCATGTTATAAACAACAGCAACAACATGAGGAAGACCATAACTCAATATTTATGCATATCAAATGTTAAAGCAACCAACGTAGATTAAGCCGAGAACAACAGCAAAAACAAATTGAACGAGCCAACTAACGACCAAAAATATCGAACGAAAACGACAACAACAAATTGCTTAAAAACATGTTAAACTTTTTTCGTTTCATTTCGATTTTTTTTGTACATACATTGTATTGTAAATGTATGGGTTGGGATATTTATACGTATTAGAAAAGAATGATGAGTAGGAGAATTTTGAAAGCTGGATTATGTTTATGGGATATATCAAGATACACATAACAACTGTCATTCAACGCACAAAGTAGAGAAAACAAAAATATATTTATTCATATTTTTTATGGCACTTTTGTCGTATTTTTTCTATCTCTTGTTCGTTTTCTTTTACATTTTATTGAAGTAAAAAAATAGAAGTTTATATGGTCGTTTGTAAAAATGTCTGTTTACAATGTCTTCTACATACAATCGATGTGTAAAAAATATTTCCAAAATCGACAACCATCATTGTAAGCGATAAAAAAAGGGATATAATACACATTTTTTATTAAAAAAATATGTATATTTTTGGGGGGCTTTTTTGCAATTCAGCAAAGTATAGTAAAATAAAATTTTAATAAATATATAGCTAGAATAACAAACAGTTTTTCACGCAATTGTTACGCAACATGGACGCTATGATGCCCCAATAAACATTATTCAGAAATGTCTCTTTGTTTACATCGTTAAATAAAAAAATTTGGGGTATGAAAAAAGTTATAATTTTTTAAGGCACTTACATATAGATAGACCTGCTTCCAGCTGTGACACCGATTTTTAAGTCAGAAAAAGTTAACTACGCTCACTCAATATATTTAGCCAGAAATCGTGCCACTATATCCATTCCATTTTGTGACATCTACGAAAATTTTAGTTATAGCAGGTTACGCCAATTTTTATAAAAAATAAAATATTTTTTCAATATAAATCGGAACAGATTTTAAAAATATATCGACTTTGTAACTTTAAATATATACTTCCTTGTTTGTTCTGCTTCTAAAGTCGGGGTGCATCTAGTAATTATTTGTGTATGAAATCTCTGATATAATTTCAATTGTATTAAGATTTATATAATATTGTTCTGAGTTTTTTTTTTTATTATATACTTTTCAAGATGAGAAATTAAATCAATTACTTATAATCCTTAAGAGTCCATCAATAATAGTATAATGTAGCAAATTATATAAATACCAGTTGTACAACCATAAAACACGACTGAGATGTAATGTTCTTCTACGACATCATACATGACCACCGTAAGAAAGAATGATATGTATAATGAAAAACAAAGCAAGAGAAAAAATCTCAGACAAAAAATACACTTTGATGGGTCCAAGAAACGTCCGGGGTAGTAAAATGTGTGTAAATATGTATGTAATGTTAATATCACCACAAGCAAAGCTTTGATGCTACTTACATACATATTTTCCAAACAATCATATATACACATGGCAACACATTAAAAATCCTGTTTTGTGTTTTTTGTTCATCTCTATAAAAAATCTAAAGTATCCGTTTTTATGTTTAATTTATACAAATACACAGTCACATATATTGTATATTTCTATGTATGTATTTTAGTTTGTTCATATACATACATACATATGTATGTACATGTATGTACATATATAATAATAATATGATGATGAGAATATTGTGTAAGTCGTCTGTAAGTTTAGAATGTGTAAACAAATAAGGAAGGGTGCATTGCTATATAAAAAATTTTTACTTCTACGAGTGAATGAATACTTTCATAAGTATGGATTTTTTAGTTTTTCTGTTTAGTTGGCGAACATTCCAACATTTTAACGTTCGTTTGTGTGACTTTTTGTCGTTTGCGAGTATTGATATGAATGTTTAAAGTTGGAGTGCTTGTTCTACTCTGTTCAGTTCTATTTCTTGTTTCTTTCGTTTGTCGTTTCCTGCTGGTGTTAGAGGGAATTGTGGTAGTAGGTAGCAATTAAAGTCAACAACCAACATTATATACGGACGCACATACTATGTATTTATAAATTCTGATATAGTTAGTAAGTTTATGTGCTGGAATATATACAAACATATGTATGTATGTACTTTGTACATATATATGTATATTCTTACTTGTATT